GTAATGGAGATCATGGGAAAGAGCACATATGGAACAGCATACAAAGCAACATTAGAAGATGGTAATGAAGTTGCAGTGAAAAGACTGAGGGAGAAGACAACAAAAGGGCAGAAGGAATTTGAAACCGAAGTTGCAGGACTCGGAAAAATTCGTCACTCGAATCTCCTTGCTCTTAGAGCCTACTACTTGGGCCCCAAAGGAGAGAAGCTCCTTGTCTTTGATTACATGCCTAGAGGAAGCCTCTCTTCCTTCCTTCATGGTAAGCAAACTCAACAATGTGCTCTAAAAGTTTACTATTCATGATTTTTTAAAAATGTTGCAGTTCAAACAAAGGGCACAGACTCGACTTACAACTCATAAATAAGGTTACTAATCTAGCTAAGCCATACTCAACTTCTTTTGTACTTACTTGTGTTACTGTATACAGCTCGTGGACCGGAAACAACAGTCGATTGGCCGACAAGGATGAAGATAGCAATCGGAATTACGAGTGGGTTGGGCTACCTCCACACAGAGGAGAATCTAATCCATGGGAACCTCACATCCAGCAACATTCTGCTGGATGATCAAACTAATGCTCGAATTGCAGATTTTGGGCTTCCTAGGCTCATGACTTCAGCTGCAGCTACTAATGTGATTGCCACTGCAGGAACACAGGGCTATAATGCACCTGAGCTAACAAAAACCAAGAAAACCACAACAAAGACAGATGTTTACAGCCTTGGAGTCATAATATTGGAACTTTTGACTGGAAAATCTCCTGGAGAAGCCATGGATGGGATGGATTTACCTCAGTGGGTGGCCTCAATAGTTAAGGAGGAGTGGACCAATGAAGTATTTGATTTGGAGCTTATGAAAGATACGCCAAATATTGGTGATGAACTTCTGAACACTTTGAAACTTGCCCTGCATTGTGTGGATCCCTCGCCGGCGGCTCGGCCAGATGTTCAGCAAATTCTCCAGCAACTGGAGGAGATTAAGGCAGCTTCCACTTCCGGTGATGGAGATGATGGCGCAAAAAATCAACCAGCAAATGAATAGACCTAAATATCGACATAGAATTATATAGATTACCACCCAGATGAGAAGAATAAATGGGTATTATTATTTTATTTGTTATAGTAGAAGAGAGATATATTCTTTTGTTTTTGTCAGTTTGTATTCCAATTATTCTTTTATTCATAATGATTCAAGTTCGTGTATATTGGTGATACAAGTATAATGCGATTTTTATAAATGCAATTTAAGTTGATTGTGAGTTTCTGTTTTTCAGTAACCTGTCCTGAAAATAAATAAATACCTGCGTCTCCATTGCTCTGTTTTCCGGCACGGAGACTTTGATTTTTAGGGCAGGTGGTTTTCGCCGGCGATGGTTGGTCGCTTCCTCCGTGGCTGCAGCGACTATTTCCATGTCTCATTGCCGGAGTCCGGTTGCTCGTCCCCGACCTCCGGCTCCGAGTCGCCATGGAATTCGGACCTTGAATTTAATTTAAGCTTCTGCAAAACCCTAATCGCGGCTATGTTGATTCTTTTTCGTATTCTCGATCTCTATCTCTCTCTATTTTCCTCCTGATCATGATCTAAAGCCAATCGAACCAATTCAGGCTCCATAAAAATTAACTCTCTCTGGGTTAAATCGAGCCCCTGGTAATATTCTACAAATTGGCTCCTCTCAAGAGAAGAAGGTCATTCGGAATAGCTGCTTGGCCTACCCTCCTTTTGGTGACGCATATAACTTGCACGAGAATCGTTAAAAAGCTTATACGTGCTTCTTTAACCTCCTTTTGATTTTTACCATTTTTACTAGGTTGCGTGGCCTTTATATAAACAACGATTTGAAAGAACAGTGCAGAGAACACTTCACAAATAACAAATTTTCTATCTCTATTTTATTTATTATCCACTGCGTTATTTTTTTTTTCCCCATTCAAAAGTTGGTGCGCCTAAAATGGCGTTTATATTTTGCCGTCGACGATTGATAATCATATGGCCCCGTTGAGAAAGAGACTTGAAAGAAGAATCAAAGGTCATGTGATTTTCTGCTATCTGCGAAGAAAATATCAGAAGGTTCCAAAATTTCTAAGATACGCTGCGAAGATTTTTTTTCTTTTTTTAATTTCTTTTCAAACGCCTGCGAAGATTTTCCCTCGACATTTTACCCACTCAAAAGCAAGAAAGCGACAAAATCCTAACTCGCGCGAATCCGGGAATCGCTCCCCATTCTCCCTCTCTCTCGCCAAATCGCTGCTCGAAATTATACTCAAAACGATTTATCTAATGTAATTGTACGAGATTCAACTTCAGAGACAACATAATCGTAAAATACTCACTTCTTATTCCGTCGTCGAATAACCGTTCACTGTATCAAAAGCCATTGCTCTGTTTCTGTAACCTAGCTCTGTTGCAGGCGAGAGCAATAAGAACCGATGAAACTCAGGATGGATAGCGCCGCGGCCGAAGAATCGCCGATTCGGCGGTTCGTCGAGGACACAGCCGCCGTCTACGGCGCTATCCCTCCTGAGCTTCAGAGGATTCTTCCTCACTTCAGTCAATGTTACGTTTCCGGTACACAAGAGGTAGAGCGAGAAGCAAGGGAAACGGCAGCCATTTTTATAGCATGAATCGGGAAAGACGTAAAAAACGTGGGGGGTATGAGACGAAGATGCACAATTCAGCACCAGAAACTGCTCAAAATTTGTTCGCTCTTGGACTTTGAAATAACAAAATTAAGTATTATTTAGGTCCAAACTTGACCGTTCTCTAATTTTGTGGAGGATAAAATTTAAAAATATATATATATATTTAGTTTCATTTCACCATCATTTTCAAAGTAATGACAAAATTATTCTTTAGTGTAGAGTGTTAAAAGAGCCCAATACTTTTCATAAAAGAAGAGACAGCTCTCAATTTATAAAAAATTTAAGGATAAAATACACTATTTAATCATTGAATTTGATAATAAATTTCTATTTTGTTTTTAAAGTTCAAAAAATGACAGTTTGGTCCTCAACTTTTAGAAAATAGTTCTAAAAAGTCAAAATTCTCGTTACAATAGTAACTTGGATATTTTATATTATTTTTAATTATGTGTAATTTTTTTATTCATTTTCGTCCACTCTCTCTCTTCCTTCCGTCTTTCTCTCCCTTACCCTTCTTCCTCCCATTCCTTTTCCTTCCCCTATCTTCTCCTTACATGGTGACACAGGGAGAGAGGGAGAGGGAACAAATATTAGTAGGAAATTAAGAGATCCATGTGGTGAACTAGAAAGCCAAATTTGCAAATAAAAAAGAAAGAAAAAAAATTGTTTCAATAAGAACAAGGGCTACCACTTTGAGAATAGCCCAAAAGTTTCTCCGATCTTCAACAGCGAGAAGTCATGGAGAGATATTTTCGCAGATAGAGAGAGAAAGATAGAGGGAAGGGAAACGAAATGGAGACGAAGGGAAGAGAAGTAGATGATGAAAATTAATAAAAAATTACACACAATTAAAAATATTTTAAATTTTATAAAATATCCAACTTATTATTGCCACGTCATTCCGTTAGTATACTAACAACCTTTGAGAACTTTTTTCTGAAGATCGGAGATTAAACTCTCACCCTTTTAAAATTTAAGGAACTGAATAGAAACCTATCTTCAAATTTAGGGATCAAAATGTATTTTAACTTATATAAATTTATAATCGACGTTATTACAAATCAGAATCACTGTTCAATATTTGACTGCTACAGTAGCATTGATTGGTGTATGACATGCTAATGTGGAGTATGTGATTGGTTGGAATAATCTTTGACCAATCCCAATTTTTGCTGAATACGGCATTGCTAGTGCCGACTACGATGTCGTGATACCCTTCTTGCGCTACATGTACTGCCCGTGGTATAGAAACTCAATCTACGCCGCTGCCGTATGTAAAACTCAAAAGGGAATGACTTTTTCAATTATTGAAAATTGGAAGTAAATGATAATTATAGTCTCTCTCTTGCTGTGTATTACACAAAATGCCCATCAATTCTAAACTTTCAAAAATTTTATTTTTACACCTTTAAACTTGTTTCAAAACTATTGTTCTTTCAACATTTTTTCACTAAAGTAAATGAAAAATATAACGTGGCGGTGATTTGTAAAATAGTAATACATGTGACAAAGATTACATGTTTCATTTATGTCCATGAAATTTATGATATATTTCAATTATACTGTTTAGTTTAAAAAAACATATGATCAAGAGTTATTGTTCTCGATAAATGTTTTGGTCTGGCCCATTCGTCGAAAGAAGTTTTTATGAGATCCCTATCTACCCAAAATTTTACTTTTGGTTACGACGAATGAGTGGAGTTCGGATAGATGAGTTGACTAGCTGAACAGCAAGCAAAGGACCTATAAAATATAATTAGAGCTCCAACCTCATGTCAGTGTTTGTCCGATCTATGGTCGATAGAGTATAGTTTCGTCTACCTGAAAAATGAGGCAGAAATCTATATTTACAAGAGTGAGCTTCAGATTGGGCTTGAACGACTCTTCGACAACCGAAAATTGAGGCATGTTGTTTGAGATTCCGTTAGAGGTTTGCGCATGTAGGCACTCTTCAAGGTTAGCTCGATTATTCAGTTAGACGGCCGATGTAAGATGTGTAGGTCAGTTCGGCATGTAATATGACTTGCGACCGAACATGGATTGTTTGGCTCGACCTTCAGAAAAGTCCAAAGTTTTTGTTAAGTGATCTATTATATTGATTCAGTGTACACATAGTTGGTGAGAAATCGCCACCAACATATACCTTTATCATTTTACAAAGGTTCATTTTAACCTTTAATAATTGAAATTGCTTCAACAAAATCATTTAAATAGCTTATATATTTAAAATAAATATGAAAATATGATGTGCCATAAGTGTGCGCTTTTTTATTTTTTCGTATGAATGATTTTTTAAGTGTCATGGAACAATATTGTGTAAGACATCACGGTAAATATTGACATAAGATGAATCACATAAGCACCCTATCATATTATTCAAGATTATTGTTCTCCCTGAGACCTCGACACGACTCTGTTGCATTTCTTTTATCCCACTCTTCCTTTAGCCTAAGCTATATAATATTTTTGTTCTCTCATTTTTTTTACTGACTTATTTCGTTAAAATCATAAGCTTTATCTACATAATTAGTTTCTTTTCCCTAAGACGATGAGTTGAAAATCTTTAGATGGAATCAATTTCAACTTAGATTGAGCATAAACTAAAATCTCTTGCCACCTCCATTACTTCATTAACTCCCAATTAAATCCACTGTTTTTATACTGTACAATTTACCCCGAAATAAAATTGACCGCACATGGACAAGAGTTTTTAGCTTTTTTTTTTTCCTCTACATAATAATTATACGACGTGTTGTCTAATTTGAAAGTTTGGTCGAAAATTGTGAATGCAGCCACTTCCTCTCCCACAGTCCACACCCGACACGATCAATTCAATGAAACAAACACTTTCCTAACAGTTTGGTAGCGATCCCATTGATTGAACATATACTAAAAAAATGGCCATCATTTCCAACGTTAGGTGGCACTGTCAGTCTAAAGAACTTCAACAATAATATCTCCAATATGGAACGAGACAGCCAGGGTCCACGTACACCTATTAATCTGTCTTTTTTATAATTACTGGACTAATACTGGCTGATCATCTGGTTGCTCCTTTTGAGTGAATTATGTCTAAAAAAAATGCTTGCTTCAAATCAAAGATATTTCCGTTGTCTGCATATATTTTGTTTACAGGACGTAATATGTATTATTTTAGGTCAGGTCAAGGAATTTGAATTTCTAACATTTCGATGGATTATATATATTTTAATGAGTTGAATTGTATAAATATTTTTTAGTTAATCAATAATGGAAGAAGTGAAAGATTTAAACTTATGACTTCAAAGAAGTCTAACTAGTTAAACTATGCTCAAGTGAGTAAATATAAATATATTTTCATTTTATTTATTATGCAATATGTTTTTTGAAGGAAATTAAGATTATAATGTTAAAGTTTGTTTGAGTTGGACTAGTGTAATATGAGGATCAAATCATTGACTTTTAAGACGGTAATGAATATCTTATCTATTGAACTATGTTTATATTGACTTATATAACGATGTTAAGAATATATTTGTCTTACTCGATTTATCATAAAAACAACCATATGATAGATGCTAAGATACACTAACATTTTGGTTGAATTTCTCAAAAAAAAAAAAGACTGAAAATATTTACCACAAATTAAATGGGTCATATCATATATAGATACATACGCATGGTAATTTCTGAAAATATTACGATGGTATCTCTCCATATTTATTGGGCTCGAAGCCCAAGTTTGCATCTGCTCTCTGATCCGAGTTCCTCATGGGCCTGGTTGTTATAAGCCCAAAACGGTTATTTCATTATTATTATTAATAATATATATTTTTTGGTGAAGTGAAGACTTCAGCGATTTTGGCCATCTTCCCTCCTCGGCTGCATTTTTTCCCGCCCTTTATTCGGAAACATTTTCATGGAAAGTGGAAGCGAGGCAGACTCCGCTGCGTCCTGAAGTCCTAGGGAGCGACGGGGCATGTCGTCGTGGCAGATTTTTTCCGACGCCGGGAACCACTTCCGGTGGGAAGTTTCCGATGAGCGTCTCGAAGTCAAATCCGAATGCGAACAAAATGATTCGTTATCTCGAAGTAGCAGCAGCTCCATTCACCGTCTCCCATCCATGGCCGACCTCTTGCTCTGCTCTAGGCTTCTGGAAAAGCCCGAGGATTCAGCTCGAGGTGCTCCGATGTTTCGAACTGGATTGGGAAAATCGGTTCCGGTTAAACAGTCTTCAATCGAGAAGGCGTTATCTCTGCTTGGCGATGAGAATGCTCCCGATTTAGGTATTTCTTCACTCTTAATTCCATTAATTCATTTAACTACAGGTTCCTAATTTGGCTTGTTTTCCGCTGCGCTGCGCACAATTTTGAAATATGCCTAAGTTCTCGATATTATTCTGCACAGTTACTGATTCCAATTTTTATGTAGCTCGTAATTTCGATTCATCTTTCATCCAGTTCATCTCTGCTACTCACCTACAGATGCACTTTACTTTATCATTGCCTTTTTTTCACTTTAGAGCGAATTCATGTGTTTTTCTCCACTATTTCAGTTCATGCAGGACCACTGCAGAATGGTGGCAAGTTCTCCAATTCTCTTTTTCAGACAGGCTCTGGGAAATCGGTCAATGTATCTTCTGAAGGTCTTCTAAGAGCCAAGACATTATTGGGTCTGGAAGAAGATGATAGTTGTTCCAATTTTCAAAGCCTAGGACAAGCTATCAGCCCATATGATATGAAAGGACCATTTTTGGAATCGAAAGGAGTGTGTGGTATGGAGGAGATGGGTGATGAATCAGTTCCTATCTCTCCATTGGTCTCTAATACTGGCTTCTCAAGAATTTCATTGGAGAACCACGCTAGCCCGTCATTCAGACAAATCGAATTTCCTAATAAGGCTCCCAAGCCTCCTCCAATAAAGTTTCATACAGCTGGTGGAAGATCCTTATCTGTTTCAAGTGATGCACTGCAACGTGCAAGAAGCCTTCTTGGTGACCCAGAGTTGGGAAGCTTCTTGGACGAAGGGGACATGGATTGTCCAACTTTTACAGTTCGTAAGGAGAATATAAGAAATGCAATGCCATCAAATGGGAAATATACTTTTCACACTCCTTCCTTCAACAAGGAAGAGCCAACTACTAAACACACATCCAAAAGCTTTTCCCCCTTACGATCATCTTCTAGTGTTGTTCAATCTTCATTCCAGTCAAAAAATATATTAGGGAGTAATTTGATAAAGAAATTTGATGCAGTTGAACATGAAAGTTCCTGTGGGTTTGACGATAAGATATCTTGTTTGCCAGAAAATTTAGGCAGCCAGCATAGTGAGCCAAGTACTCTAGTAGAGAATGCTACTGGAAATGGAATTAAATCAGGGATCCATTTAGGCGGGCGGTCATTTGGTGGGCCATTAAATGACATATCGAATGTTGTTGACACAAGAATTAGAAATGATAGAGCAAATAACAAAGAGAAGAGGAAGCTTTGGGGCACAAATTCTGTATCTCCATTCAAAAGGCCTCGAAATTCCAAGTTTTCCACCCCATTGAATAAGAATGTGCCACTTGTTACCACAAGTGAGTTTACCTTCTTTATTCTCATCTTTTACGTTAGCTTTAGCATTTTTGTGAAATTGATTATATTATTTAAACCAGGTTTATCTACTTCATCATCTAATAACTTTTGTTGCAAAAGAACGGTTTCCACTCGGTATCCATATCAAGCTTCAAGGATGTACATCAAAGAGTATTTTGGAAGACCTCCATCAAACCAAGACAATGTAAGTACATAACCAGCACGCTCTAATAATTTTGTGGAAATATTGATGTGATGCTGAGACAATATTTTTCACCATGGCCAAATAGTTGGATTACTTTTCTGAGGACGTCCGAAGGATCAATGCAGAAAATGCAGGGAAATATAAAGTTCTTGACAACTCTGGTACAAATTATATTGGAGTAGAAGCTTTTCGTCACATGTTGGCTGATTCTGGAGCTTCTCTGCAACATGCTTCTGAATTGTAAATTTTCTGCTTTTTATATTCCTGTTATAGTCCTTGTCACATACCTACCCTTATGGGGGATATATGATCAGTTTTGCTCCATATTTAGTCTTCTTGATTTCTTATTTTGGTTATGGTTTTAACTTTTGGTGCTCCTCGCTGTTTAGGTGGGTCCCAAATCACTACAAATGGATTGTTTGGAAACTGGCCTGCTATGAGAGACAAAATCCAGTTAAATCAAACGGAAAGTTTTTGACAGTTTCCAATGTTCTTGAGGAATTGAAATATAGGTGAGACATTACGTTTATTACATGAATATAATAGAAGTACCCCATGCTTATAAGAAGTGTTAGATAAATTACTTTGTGTCTGAAAGGTATGAAAGAGAAGTGAATCAGGGCCACCGTTCTGCAATAAAGAGAATACTGGAAGGAGATACACCGCCATCTATGATGTTAGTTTTATGTGTTTCAGCTATTCGCTTAAATTACAAATCAAGGGCTCAAGCTTGTTCGTCTATGATGAGTGGGTCTGATCATGGTGAAGGGGCAAAAATTGAACTGACTGATGGGTGGTATGAAATTGACCTCACTGATCTCTCACTACCTAGTTTTTTGGCAATATGCATTGATATTGGGGCGTGGTAGGTATTCTATTGATGCTCTTTTGGACGGACCGCTGTCAAAGCAGCTTGTTACGGGAAAACTTTTTGTCGGACAAAAACTCCGGGTAATTTATCTATCAATATCTGATCTCTTATTCGCTCAGAAATGCTGCCGGCTTACTGTTGTGCCTTTCTTTTGAAGATATGGGGAGCAAGATTGTGTGGTTGGGTTGGGCCTGTTTCACCGCTTGAGGTTGTTTTCATTTATTTGGTTAAATCACATATTTAGTTCCTACCTTCAACATGTCTTACTTTTGTTCTAACTTTGAATTGTTTCATTTTAGTTTCTGTGCTTTGATAATATTTCATAAACAAGTCCTTGTATTGTGAGATATTATCAATTTACAGGTGCCAAAATGAAACAATTTTGAAGCATGAGAACCAAAGTGATGCAAGTGACAAAATACACAGATGAATATGTAATTTAACCTTGTCTATTCATGGTTTAGCCTTGCTGGTTTATATTTTTTGAACCTTTCATCATTGACTACAGATTTCATCGACCGTTTATTTATCGTTGCACATTAATGGAACTTTTAGAGCTCATTGGGCCGATAGACTGGGATTTTGTGAGTGCGATAGAAATTTTGTTAATAGTGTCAATTGTCAATTTTAGAAAATTTGAACCTATAGAATACTGTTTTGTTCATGCTCAATTTTTTATATAGGCAAAAATGGTGGTGTCCCCTTATCCTTTAAGTGCATCAAGAGCAGTGGGGGTCCAGTTCCTTGGACTTTGGTTGGTGTATCACGAAAATACCCTGTTCTTTACAAGGATAGGTAATTCAATATGATTGTGATGACTATTTTGCTTGAAATGCTTCAATGTTATTATGTTGTAACTAAACTTTGCCATGATTATTACAGGTTAGGTGATGGAGCGTCCATAGTAAGAAACGAGAAGATGGAGATGAAGACCAGACAATTATATGACCAGAGGTGGATCCCAAATTTGTGCTCTTTACTAATTCTTTGTTTAACATAGACAGAAATAAAATGCTCTACTCTACCACATATTAGCTTAGTTTGTTTGCTATATGTTAAAGATGGAATACAAATTGGGAGGTTTAAATAACTTGTATTATGGTTGAATGATGTTGGATGCAGGCGCACGGCTGTCATTGATGGTATTGTTTCTGAATTTCAGAGAGGGATAAAGAGTAGTATCTACAATGAGAACGACAGTGAAGAAGGGGCAAAAATCTTTAAGATCCTTGAGACAGCCGCTGAACCTGAAGTTTTGATGGCAGAGATGAGTCCTGAGCAACTGACTTCTTTTGCCACCTACCAAGCAAAAATGGAGGTTATTCTTATTTTATGTTATATATGCGGAAGAAACAGTTTAAGTCAAATTACTAAATGAGATTTTTAATTTTAGGCAATCCAACAGTCTGACATGGAAAAATCAATTGAGAAAGCATTATCAGATGCTGGGTTAAATGGGAGAGATGTCACCCCTTTTATGAGGGTGAGAGTGGTTGGACTTATAAGCAAAAACAACAAAAGAAAAAGCCACAGGAAAGAGGGCTTGATTACGATCTGGAATCCAACAGAGAAGCAGGTGAATCCAATTATTTGATCCTTATACTATCCATTTTCACGTCCAACTTTTCCATTTGAGAACTTGCCGTACCCCACCCACTTATTTTTCTTCATGCACTTATCTAAATGTTACCCAAATGGGTAGTAACATACGTCTAACTTAATTTACTTTAAACAATGTAATAGCAACTTGAGCTGGTTGAGGGTCAGGCATACGCCATTGCAGGACTTGTACCAATAAATTGCGATGCAGATATTCTTTACTTGCAAGCAAAAGGATCAAATACCAAATGGCAGTCTTTATCGCCTCAGGCTATGGAATACTTCGAGTATGTCTTTTCATGTCTCTTGTTTTGGTAAAATCGAGGTGAAAACTCATGCTTGTTCTGCTGCAGGCCCTTCTATAGGCCACGAAAATCGGTTTCGATATCAAATTTGGGGGAAGTCCCTTTATCTAGGTAAATCTTGCATATGATTCTCTAATGGACAATATTTTGTGTGGCATAACTTATATGTCCTTTCACCATGTAGTGAATTTGATGTTGTTGCAATGGTTATACACGTGGGAGAGGTTTTTACAACTGCCCATCAGAAGAAACAGTGGATATTTGTGGCAGATGGTTCTATATTTGAGTCACATTCAGGATTATCTAATTCACTGCTTGCTATTAGCTTCTGCTCGCCATATGTGGGCGACGAGTCATTTGTGCCAATGAACTGCAATCTTGTCGGTTCCACGGTATGTACATTCTGTTGCTTCTTCTGTCAAATCCAAAGTGCATTATCTATAATCGTTTTGTTACTTTTAGTTTACTTTTAGTTCAAATTTTTCTTCAGGCAGGCTTTTGTAATCTTATAAAGAGACCCAAGGACCAGATAAATCATCTATGGGTATCAGAAGCAACAGAAAATTCGTCCTACTTTCTGAATTTTGATTCCATGGATTGTTCTCACTTGAAAAACGCTGCAGTTTCTGCTAAAAGATGGGCCGAGAATTCTACCTCAGTTTGTACTCTATTATTATTAAATTCCTGATAAATTTTAACCATTTTTTTGTACATGATTGGTTCCTATGAATTAATCCATCGTCCTTATTTCTTCCATTCAGATTATTGAGAATCTCAGGGAGAAGATTTTATTTATGATTGGTGATTGTAAAGGCTAAATGGAGAAAGGAGCTGATCAAGCCTGATTCAATGGTAAGAATCTCTATACACTTTTTCATGGACAAATGGTTAATGAATGAATTAATCTAA